GAAGTAGTATTATTTCTCTTTTTATATCTTTCCTAATTCTTTATTTTATTTGTGTACGTGTGTCTTTTTATGTAATTATGTTATTCTATCTTTCTCTGTCACTTTTTCGGTAATCCTAACTACCACGCCACCGCATGCAGAGCGTGGCAAATCGGAACTAAAGAAATTATAATTTCTTTACATATATATATTAGTTTTATTAGGAATAATTAAGATATTAATATATATCTATAGAAAGTAGTATTATTTCTCTTTTTATATCTTTCCTAATTCTTTATTTTATTTGTGTACGTGTGTCTTTTTATGTAATTATTTTATTCTATCCTTCTCTGTCACTTTTTCGGTAATCCTAACTACAACGCCACTGCATGCAGAGTGTGGCAAATCGGAACTAAAGAAATTATAATTTYTTTACATATATATATTAGTTTTGATAGGAATAATTAGTATATTAATATATATCTATAGGAAGTAGTATTATTTCTCTTTATATCTTTCCTAATTCTTTATTGTTCTCCTGCACGTGTGTCTTTTTATGTAATTATTTTATTCTATCTTTCTCTGTCACTTTTTCGGTAATCCTAACTACCACGCCACCGCACACAGAGCGTGGCGAATCGGAACTAAAGAAATTATAATTTCTTTACATATATATGTTAGTTTTATTAGGAATAATTAAGATATTAATATATATCTATAGAAATAGTATTTATTTAAATATATGAAGTACACATTTATTCCCGAAAACGAACCATATGAACCAATATTACCAAAAACCATTAACTATAAATCCCTAACCTTAAAACCATACACATTACTTTAAACCATACTCTCTCGCTGTTCTTTTGTGGCCTATATATAAAGATTATCTCTTCTATCATCCTTTTGTTCTTTTCTTGTTTTCGGTTCGAGAATATTAAAGAGGTTTCTTTACGACCAAACATCACTTGATAATTTCAATCGGTTCAACATGACAACATAGCACACTCTTACGTCACAAAGAAATTATATATAGTTTCCTACTTTCTATTCTTTTCTTCTACATATTTATAATAATGTACTTTAACCTTGGAGAACAAAATAAATCTAACAATATCTCAACAAAAGTTTTTTAATCAAAAATAAATATAAAAATAAATATAAAAATAAATGAACACGTTCATAAACGTATACCGTATAACGAGTGATTCATCATTTTCTCTTTTTTTTCTTTCTCGTTCCTTTTTTTTATTATCTATTGAACAACGTAGGAGAATATCGAAGAAAAATATCCCGTAATAGTAATGGTGAAAAAAAAAAAAGAAAAAAGAAAAAAACAAACAAAACCCTCTGAAAGAAATAAAAAGGTGGGTGTACGCGGAAATAAATGGAAAACAAAAAATGGGGAGGGGGAAAAAAAAGAGAAAGAGAGAGAGACAGAGAGAAAAGAAAAAGAACGAAGAGAGTGGTGTGTCTTCAAAAGTAGGGAACGGAACGCTAGCCAATATCGATGTGTTTCTTATTGAAAGTATGGAAACTATAGCAAAATGGTTCCACCACCGGTGAGTACTTGTCTCGAAGAGAGAAATAAAGAAACAAAAAGAGAGAGAGAAAGAGAGAGAGAGAGAGACTTTCTCTCACAACTCGCCTATTTTCCTAGTTACTACTTCTCTTCTCTTTCTGTGGATCCCCGAGCGACCATGCTCGTCGTTCCATTTTCAAAAATGGAAAAGAACACATCCGAGTAAGGAACGACAATTTTTCGTCCGCGCCAAGAGAAGAACGTGTATAATAAAAAGAAAAAAAAAAAAACTAAAAACCGACAAAAGAAATAACAAAACAAACGAACATTGCCAGAAACGAATACACAGAGGGGGAGAGAGAGAGAGGAGGGTGGGGGTGGAGGGAGCTGGATGAGTAGGGACTAATGGGGGAAGATGGGGGAGGGGGAAAGGTTGTAGACAAAATATACAAAAATATGATCGCAATAATTATTATTATCGTATAATAATTAGCATTGTCATTTTTGTTACGCGTAATATTACGTAATATTAAACAATAAATAAATAAAGGTATTTTTTTTTATACACTCATATTTTCTTTTTTTATTATCATCATCATTTTACTTTAATTAACTCATTTTTTTTCCTCTAATAAGTTTGTACTCATTCGCGTTACTTTAATTTAGTTGTTTTTGCAAAAGTTTTTATTTCTTTCCTTCTTTTTTTTTATTTTCTTCGTACTTACTATTGTTCTTTCAATTTTAATCATTTCCAAAATCGATTTACAACTATTTAATACTTGAGATCAACGAACGGTATTAAAAAAAAAAAACGAAAAAAAAGAACCCTCCAAAGAAACAAAAAACGAAAGACGACGCAATATTAACATTAAAGAAAAAAAGAAAGAAAGAAAGAAAGCAAGAGAAAGAGAGGAGGGGGTAGCGTAGGGATAGGGAATGGGTATGGGGTAGATTTTTATGAAGTACATTCTAGATCATAAAATAATATTCTAAGCTGATAGGAATGCTTTATAATATTGGAATAAGGGAACAATGGTTGGGGGTGGGGGGGGGTACCCTTTCTTATTCCCTCTTTCAATGTTATATAATGCACGAGAAAAAGGGTAATGAAACGGAAAGAAGAGAATGAAAGAGAAAGAGAGAAGAACATAGAGAGAGAGTGAGAGAGAGAGAGAGATAAAGATAGAAATAGAAAAGTGTATGAAAAGAATAAGACAACGTTTTGCGAGTGTTGGTTGGTTGGTTCGTTGGTTGGTTGGTTGGTTGGTAGAACCTTGGCGAAACTATAGTGAGTACTCGCGCGGAAAGTAACTCGTTGAATTTATATCGTAGTAAACATTACCATAAGTTTAAGTTGAGTATCCCATTTAGTGTGTGGCTCGGAGGTATGTATGTACCTACGAATCTAGTAATTCTTGCCAACTTTACTATGTTCTCCAACGCGCTAACGTTACTTATAGCCAAACCGTACCACGAGAAAAATTTATAGTAAAACCCCTGCTTACCCCCACCACTATCATTACCACCACTAACGTTATTCCCTCTCATCTCTGTTCACGTCTTTACACTTGTTTCATTTCTTTTCTTCGTTTCTTTTTAACCCTTTGAGTGCTATGGACGCATATATGCGTTTGGTAAAAGTTTATACGCGTGGTTTATCAATGTGACATGTAAAATAATGTAATATTTTTGTTGTATTTTGTCAGATGAAAATAATATTGTGAGAAAAATAAAAAATTGTAATTATTAAATATAATTTATTATTATTATCACACATCTGGTAACATTAATAATAAATTATTTCATTCGTAGAAAACATTCTTCAATTAACTTTAGTTTTATTTTATTATTTATTATATATTATATATATATATATATATTAATAAATTATTTCATTCGTAGAAAACATTCTTCAATTAACTTTAGTTTTATTTTATTAT